GAACAGCAAAGCCGCCTCTCTCTGTGGATACACTGCACAGCTCCCGGCTCCTGTTGGCACCGTGGGCGTGCCGTGGGATATGTCAGAATGTGTCTGTGCAGCTTTCAAAAAACCCTTAAACCTTGCAGAGCACTGAGCGGAGGTGCTGCCCGACCCCATGGGCTGGGAACAGATGCTGATCAAGGCGTGTCGGTCCCGGTGTGCTGACAGCTGCCTGATCCGAGTCAGGCGGGACAGAACAGGGGCTCTTCCCTTCCCAAAAGCAAATCTTAGCTCAGTCGCTGGAGACTCGAAGCCCCGTTCTCTTTGCCAGATCTACTTTCTGCTGTGCTGATGGGGGGAGCCTGACGTGCCAAAGGCTGCGGTGACATAGGTGACCCATGCTTTGCACGGTTCGGTGCACCACGCGGGTGACCTTCCTTTGCCCTTCCCTGGGGAGAATGCAAGGTCCCGCCCGTTCAGCAGCTGCTCCTGCATTTCGTGGCGTCTGTACGTGCTGAGCCCAGCCCAGCCCTCTGCACTGCGAGATACGTTGCCTTCTGTCCTGTCTGGTGCTAATTCACACTGTCTGCAAAGGCCACAGATGCCCAGCTGGGCTTGTCTCCTGCCGCATGCGAGGACTTAAAGTCTGCGCTGCCGATCCCTCACTGGAGGGAGCAAGCGCTGTCAGGCACGGAGCAGCTTGTCCCTCCCTGGCTCCTTCAGCCTTTCTTCTCGCCTGTGTTTAGTGCTCCCTGGGGGATCTGTCTGCTGGATCCCAAGGCCCTGGCCACCTGGGAATCTAGGAACCTGTAGGCCGTGGGCCCCACGGGAGTGCCCCTCCCTCTGCTGTGATGTGGGGGAGGGACTGGAGGCCACTGAAGAAGATGGCTTCAGCTGCATATCCAGTGCCCCTGCCGAGATGGGACGAGCACATGTGGCTGCTCCGTGCCAAGCCTGTGGGAGATGCTGGGGCCCTTGCTGTGTCTGCTGTTGTCCCAGGGAAGAAACTACTTAAATGTCGGGGGGTGGGGGAGGAGAATGGGAGGGAAAGTGTGTAAGCCGGGTGACTGGCGTCTCGGGGGGAGGGGGGTACGCCGGGTGA